AATTTTTGTTTGTATAAATTGATTTTCACAATATTAATGGAAATCATGAATAATTTCCTATATAGGATCTCTTCAGCCATGTCCTCATCAGTGAGTAGTACACAAGGAATGTTGTTGTAAGAAGTACAGTATCATTTAAAAGTGATATATGAAAATCTAGCCAGGCACAGTGTATATGCTTTTAGCTCCAGCTGTTTGAAAGGCTGAGGCAGAGAGATCACTTGTGCTCAGGAGTTTAAGGCCATCGTAGGCAGCATAGCAAAACCCCACTTTTCAAAAAAAAATAAAAATCAATTACTAGGATACATAGTCTATTTATTAATGGCATCTGATATGTATTCTACTTTATGTACCAGTTTAATGCCCTTAATCATGCCATCATGTCTGTAGTAACAAATCTTGCAACATAGTAGATGATGAGTCATCTTCTGGAGTAGTGACTACAAGCTGTAAATCCAAAGTTATTTACCCATACAAGTGACATTTTTGCTCCTCCTCCTCTCCTCTCCTTCCTCCTCTTCTTTCCCGCTGAGGATTAAGCTCAAGTAAACTCAGAGCCTTGCACATATGGAGCACACACTCTACTACTGAGCTACACCCTCAGCTCTTATGTGTTAATAAGCTTGGTAAACTCAAGAAGCAGGACATTTTAAACAAAACACTTAAATGAGCTCCCTCAACTTAGGAAAAGATGAAACAAGAACTACAAAGTAAACTCAAGCAACTTAAACAAATTCAAGTAGTTGGTTTCACATCTCATTTGATACCTTTTGATAAGTAATGAGCAGAGTCTAGTTCTCCAGGGACCCAGGTTTATACATTTATTCATTTAATAAGAATTCACTCTACAATGGGCACTTATAATTTCATACCTGAAATATTTCTGAGAACAGAATTTGTGGGATCTTTAAGAGATTCAGGCCTACGCTAGGTTGATTTGGCCTGTTTCCTTCCATTAATCTGCCTCGCTTTATTCATACGGCCCTCACATTCATCCTCGTCGCTGTTGAGAGTGATTGATCTCCAAAACAAATTAACCATGAGGCACTCTTCAAAGCATTAATGACCAAGCATCTTAAAGTCACCTATAGGCTTTCATGATTTGACTTCTAATTCTCCATCTTCAGCCCTGTCCTTTTGTCTGCCCTCATCAATCTCTGGCTTTACTAACAGCTAGTGATATTTTCCTTTGTACTCCATTTTTAGACAAAGTACTATTTCCATTTCATACTTTCTTTCTGTTTTGCTACTGCCTTTTGTACTCTCTCACTTTCCTGCCCTCTGTCTGGCCAACCTCACTCTAATTCTGAGCTCAGGCATTACCTCTAGAAAAGCCATCCATGATACCTTTTATTTGTACTCTTTAAACCCCAGTGCCTAGCACTTAGCAAGAATTCAATAAATAATTATTGATTAAGATGAAGGAAGACTATGTATACAAAGATGATTTCAAAGATTGTGCCATCCAGTCCAGGAGCAAAATGGTTAATAAAGAAATAAGTTTGTAGTTCAGGTAGTAAAAATC